GGGAGTTCGACAAACTCGACGCTGAGGTCATTGAGGCTCAAGTGGACGAGTACTGGCGTGAGATATTTCGACTGCAGAAGGTCTTTACGATGCGCCTAAAGAAGATGCGCATGGAGGCCGCAGAAAGGAAGCAGGCCTCAAGGCCTCGTCGTCGCCGGGAACCTGACTCGGAGGAGAGTGAAACAGAGGAAGTGAAGCCGCCGGCTGCGCTGGCTACCATCACCATTGTCCTCGAACGCATACGCAAGTTTAAGGTTCGTCATTGCTGCTGCCGACTCGACTCGTGGGCTTTCATTTTATCTCAAAGACGTTTTTCAGAAAAAACGTTGACGAGGATTGCTTAAATCCGCCCCCACATCCTACCGGAAGGGAGGGGGGGGTCATACACAGTAGATTTGCTATCTCATGAAATTTCAACCAAAATTCAGAATGTTCGAAGTCGATTGAAAATTAAAAGATTAATGTTTGTGCAACTTAATCCCGAGGTACTTCAGTCAAGGCAAAATGCTGGTTTATAAACGCACTTCTTTTCAACCATCTGCAAAGCTTGCACTCTGCAAAAAGTAACTACATAAGTAGAAGAAATTATTTCAATTGATTTTCGATGCCTTTATAAACTTAAATACAGTTCACAGAAAACATACAGGAAAGTAGTATTCCTAGTAAGCATGTGATATAAACCTACGTTTTCTTCAAATTTTATACTTGAAAAGGGGCATCTCGCTATTTTAAAAATGTTAATATTTAGGGTATTTTTTAAAACCATGAAATTTCAAATCATAAAGCATCCTATCTGTCCATCTATTAATGTTGCTTATAAAGCATATAATATGATTCTCACACCTTGCGAAGGTTTGTGAACTGTATGCGAATTCTTTTAAATAACAGAGGCAAATATGCGATTTTCTTTGGGAGAAATGTATACAGCATGTAGTTTTCTAACTATAAATATGTGTTGAACGACAAGTCGGTGTCAAAATTATCCGAGAATTGTAAAGGTTCTTTCTAAAACCGAAAGATGCCTTTGCATCGAAAAATACATAATTTTCTACTAGAGGCGTACTAGAAAGACTACTTTCGTTCAGGTTTTCTATAATACATATTTGAACTTATCAAGAAATCGAAATCAATGAGAAAAATTAGTATTTCTTAACTAGTCACTTTTTAGGGATATCCACCGAAAAGAATTTCTTTCGAAAGCTGGTATATTTAAGTGACTGGAATATTTTGGGATTTGGCTGCCCGATAATTAATATTACAACCATGATCAAAGAATATTTCCGGCATGAAAATGCATTTTAGGATTTCGGTTAAAATTTCATTAGATAACACAGCTACTGTAAGATATCCTTCCCAAAAATTCCATAATTGCGACTGTTTTGCTAACTGAGCAGCAAATAATTAGCTTTTTTTACAAAGAAACTGAATAAAGACATCAGGTTCTCGGCAATTTGTCGATTTCTGCCCATATAAACGATGGAAACAGGAACTAAATAACAAAAAATGCGGATGTTGTGGTTAGCTTTGGTTGACGGTAGACAATTCTGCGAATATTTTCATCCAGCCCGAAGTTGATCGAATGTCCAAGTAGCCCAAAACAGTGCCCACCACATGCTTCAAAATTACTGTTTCCGGTTTGACACATGCGAGTCAGATTTTCGTCAAATCGAAAGTTAGCCTGTGAGTGACTCAGTTATTTTAAATTTTAGAAAAAGCTATATGCCTGCGCATGAGCCCAAAGATTGACTTTACATAGATTTAAGTCCTCTAAATGGTAAAAGTGGCTTTCTAAATGCTATCAGCCAAAACGTAGCGTATGGGATAAAAAAATAGTAACCGTGACCTCATGATGAAAGTGCTGAACTTCTTTTGCAGAAATAAAACAATTCTTTTTGATGACCATTGTCCTTTAAAGAGGCAGATAAAAGTACTAAATAAGTAGAAATACGCCGACTTCGTTTTTGCGCGCTTTTGTTAATGTATATTTGCGACCTTTCAGGACACAGTTCCGATTATTGGCATCCTCTGTAATCCCGGCATTCGGCAACGTCACTGGGATGCCATGTCAGCAATTGCCAAAAGAGACCTTACGCCTGACAGTGGTACCTCCCTGGCCAAAGTCCTACAGATGAACCTCGACCCCTACATGGACCAGTTTGAGGCCATCTCGGCGGGTGCTTCGAAAGAGCACACTCTGGAGGTTAATATGAAGAAAATGCTGGAGGACTGGAAGGATGTGGAATTCACGTTGACTCCCTACCGCGACACTGGCATTTCCATTCTGGCCTCCGTGGATGAAATTCAACAGCAGTTAGACGATCAGATTGTGAAGACGCAGACCATGAGGGGCTCGCCGTTCATCAAACCCTTTGAGGCCGAAATTAAGGTAGACTTCAGATCGGTTTGCTACTACCTGTATGTCTCCTCAAAGGCTAGACTTTCGTTAATTTACCTAAAAAGTGCATTCTCTTTGTTCACGTACAGTTCGTGAATAATTAGATGACACAGATGAGGATTTTTGAGAAAACTGGCTATTTCTAAAACTAAGATTTTGGGGAACTTGGAGTTTGTTTTGAAGAACTATAGGCGACATTCTACATATACTTATCTGTTACTAAAAAAACAGTAACATAAGCTCGCCTAAATTGATTGCGAACCGGAATAAATTTTTTTCTGAAATTTTTGAAAACTAACCAGTACGGCTAGGAACTTCCATAGTAGTCTTTTCTCGTAAATATACCTTTGTCAACCAGTTATCCGCAGCCTTGAGGTGGATCACTTATTTCATTGAGCCTAATATCTGTTACTTTCGAACTTTGTTTGTGCCATATAGGGATTAATGATTCCTGGACCCTGTTCGAAGGTATTCGTATTGCTACAGGCCTCCACTCGCTGAACTGAGCGCGCTTCATTCCTGTCCTAACGGCTTAAATAATAAGGATACCCTAGGCATTACGATATTTAGGTCCGGCCTTGGATGGAAAGAGTAGAAGTGGGACGCCAGTTGGAAGGATGATGCATTCCGTACAGAACCATTCGAGAAGAGGTTGGCTGCCGGGCGAGGGCATAAGTCCAGTTTTATCACTATAGCAGATGAAGAAGCAATTAACGGTCTGTGGGAGACGTTGGAAATACTCGCATTTCTAGCACAAGTTGGTTTTATTACTCCAGTGAGGTGCTCGAACAGACGCACAATATGAAATATGCCAACTGGGGGCATGCGAACGAGTGGATAAAGGTATTCCAAGGTCATTGGTTGAAGAAGGGTTCGTGCAGCCGAACATAACCAAAACCCTAACCGCAACCTTATCTTTGGCCCAACCCTAACCTTAAAGGTAAGTTTAACCTATCCCCTAGACATTATATGAAGCTCAGTCCGAAAATTAACCCTAATATAACAGGCCTAAATTAGTCCACATGTCCTGGTAATGAAATCTAAGATTTTACCCATTACCTCAGCACTGTTACTCGGGATGCTTCCTATTGCCTATTGCAGCACCTCTCCTCCAGACATACGTGGCCCAATTTGAGTAGTTCTGGCCAACGCCGGCATTTCCGTGTATACAATGGCGAATGACTTTATCATTATTTCCTCGCTCTTTGATATAGGTATCCTTCCTTATTCATAAAAGAAACCACCGTCAGTATTATAAAACACTATTGCAAGCCCAAAAACGACAAATAATCTTCATCCGGTCATATTTGATAGTTGGACACTGAGATATCATAATCAATCGCAATTACTTTCCATACTAGCAGCACAGGTACTAGCTAAAAAAAACCAGACACGTGCTTTTCCCATAGACCCATGAATATAAACATCTACTCAAAGTAAGAAACTTATTTCTGAAGCTACAAATTTTAAAAACTGGAGTATCTGCTGGGAGACCCACGGAAGAGCCGGACCCCTCGCAGCTGTGCCATGCTGCGGACAAACACTAGACTAAGCTTTTAGCTAATACATGTGCTGCTAGTAAGGTCGTTAATCGCGTTAGTTGTACTACTGGCTGCATGATGACAGCTCGTGAATAGTACACGCTTATCGCACAGTAGCTGATGGACTTCGGTCCCATTATTTACGCTAAATATCGGTCTGCGCCTGTAGGCCCTTTGAATTTAATGATTTACTTCAAATTATAAAGTAATTTCCGATTAAATTTTAAAAACCTACAATAATATATTGAACTGGCCACGTGTTATGTTATACATCAGGTTAAGTCTAGTGGAGTATTACTGTAAGCTAAATACCAACGAATTTCTTCTACTCCAAGAAATGGGAGGAGCGTCTTCTGCGCATTCAGGATACCATTGACTCTTGGCTGAGTATGCAAGCAAACTGGCTGTACCTCGAACCAATCTTCAGTTCCGAGGACATTATGCAGCAGATGCCAGAGGAAGGCAGGCTCTTCCAGGCTGTCGACAGGAACTACAAGGATATTATGCGCAACACTGCTATTGACACGCATGTGCTGAAGGTACGTCGCTGTTCCACGTGTTACGTCTGTAGGAAAACTTTTATGATCGGCAGTAAAATGGTCATAATTCGAAGCCTATCGTCTGACTACCAACTATATGCAACTGCATATATGTTGCTAAGTCCGATCAGTTACGGCAAGGCCTATGACCTGTTTCTAGTAGTCGTTTTGTGACTTACCTACATTGAATCCTAAAAAACACTTTCCTCATTCGGTTTTGACTAGTTCGCAGATGCTGCACAATTAAATTCCAAACATTATGTTATAGGTTCTCGTTTTCTACTTATTTATATCTGAATTATGATTAAGCGAGCCAAATTAACCTGGATTTCATGGCAGAAAGTATGATTAGTTGAGTTGCCTAATAGAGTCCAGTAAATGTAATATACGCCTACTTGCATCTCCTCAGTGGCCCGATTTACACAATTTTAAATTTAATTGTCGCGCAAAGGTGGCCCCCAGCCACAAAGCCTTCCTGGTGGCTGCTACAGCAAATTCGCGTAGAGAGTTGTCACCACTTTCCATTTTTTGTCTTTTGTCATCTGCAACACGAATTTTCCATCTTTTTTGTCGCGCGACATCAAACTGGAGACAACTCTACTTATACGAACTTTGCTGCAGCAGCTACAAGGAAGGCTTTGTGGCTGGGGGCCACCTTTGCGCGACAATTAACTTTTAAAGTGTATAAATTGGGCTACTAAGTATATGCAAGTAGGCGTATATTACATCTAGTTGACCCAACTAGGCACCCCGACCGTTCTTTTAATATTCGATAGTTGATTCCAGACAAATCAGATTACCGAATTGATACCCTTACACAATAAAAATCATTTTATGAAGCCATAATCCAGCAACTGCCTTGGGTGACAGTCAACCCTTTCGGCATATTTTACATCATGTTGAGGTGTCCGATGGTGATTTATGTGTATGGTAAAGTAATATTCGAGTATTTTCTTTATAGGCGACCGCTTTTGCTGGCCTTCTGGAGAGGATAAAAGACAGCAACACCCTCTTAGATAAAATCAACAAGGGCTTAAATGCCTACCTGGAGAAAAAACGACTCTTCTTCCCACGCTTCTTCTTTCTTTCTAACGACGAGATGTTGGAAATTTTGTCCGAGACAAAAGATCCCCTGCGTGTGCAACCCCACCTGAAGAAGTGTTTCGAGGGCATTGCCAAGTTGGAGTTTGACAAGAATCTCGAAATCAAGGCCATGTTTTCCAGCGAGGGTGAGAAGGTCGTCTTCAGCAAGGTAAATTTCCCCTTATATACGGCGGCTTTTATCTACTGTAGCACAAATTTATTGTTTTTTGTTATGGAGAGTCTTGTTGGATGGACCATTTAAATGAGAACGCAGTCTCGAAACGGATTACTAGATTTTGTTCCCTCTAGGGAGCACGGTGAAGTTTAAAAACAGCTTGAAAGGCGTTGAAATATGACGCCTAGTACAGTAGTCGCCGGCTATTAAGCCCACGGCTAATAAGCCCAGCCGC